ATTCACAACAGCCCAAAGGTGGGAACAACCCAAATGTTCATTAACAAATGAATGGATAAACTTAATGGGGTCTATCCATACAATGGAATATTATGCAGCCTTAAAAAAGAGAAGGGAATTCTGACACAGCCTACAACACGGATTAACTTGGAGAGCATTATGCAAGGTGAAATAAGCCAGTTACCAAAGGACAAATGCTGTATGTCTACACTTCTTTGAGGTCCCTAGAATCATCATATTCACAGAGACAGAATGTAAGTGATTACTAGGGGTGGGGGAGGAGGGAATGTTGATGTTAAACAGTTAAAGAGTTTCAGTTTCAGAAGATGACAAAGTTCTGGAGATGGACAGTGATGATGGTTGCACAACCATGTGAATGTACTTAAGGTCACCAAACTATACGTTTAAAAATGGTTAAAGGGGTAGAGCTCAGTGGTAGAGAACATGCTCAGCATGCACGAGGTGCTGGGTTCAATCCCCAGTCCCTCCATTTAAAAAATAATTAAGTAAATAAATTATAACCCCTTGCAAAAAAAAAGGTTAAAAAAATAAGTTTCACGTTATGACTATTTTGCCACAACAAAAACAGTAATGATAAAATTCCAAATTCTTACTATGGTCCCTCCCTCTTTAAACTTGTCACCTGCCAGTTGCTTCCTGTCATTCGTGGGGCCCCAGTCCTGCTGGCGTCCTTGCTGACCCAACAACACACCACACGCGCACCCCCTGATCTCTAACTGGCACCCATTTTCCTCTCACAGGTCTCCGCTGAAACAGTCCCTGAAAAGCCTTCCTGACAACCTACTGTTGAGGGTGAAAAATAATTTTCCTTCCATCCTTCTGAGTTCTTGGCTGAGACCCCTGTAATACAGGACCGATTAACAAGGGAAAACCAAACAGATTTATTAACGTGCATACTTTGAGAAAATCGAGAAATACCTAGCAAGACCTGGAGAAAAATCAGCAACTCCCCGAGGTTGCTTAGAATTCAGGCTTAAATACCATGGTAATAGGGAGAGAGGACATGAAGGCGTCCTGGGGGTACTTTTAGGAAAGATGCCTGGGTCCCCAGAATAGGCTGAAGATAGGATAGTTTGACAAAACTTGTCTGGGTGTTGGTGTCCACTTCCAATCTTGAAACTCCCAGGGAGGGGATTTACAGCAGTTCAGTTCCTTTTGGAGACTCTGTCTTTAGGCAGAGCTCAGAGAAAGCTTCTCCCTCCATGTGCCGTTTTTCAAGCACTTACAGATCAAAATAACCAATACAGCAAAGCAGCAAAGGAGAGGCACGTCCTGAACTCCTACAGACATATTTGGGGCGGCACATTCCGGTACCCTGAGCTAGAATGTAAACTCCATAGCCAAAAAGACTTTGTTCACTGCTGTTCCCAAAACACAGCCTCCAAACCCCACTTACAGAATTGAGACTTGAGGACAGAGTTTTGGATGAAGCAGAAAAGGCAGCTTTACTTCTTTGCCAGGCAAAGGAAGTCACCGTGGGCTAATGCCTCCAAGACTGGGAGCCTGCTGGGGAGAGAAGGCAGGGGGATTTATAGTAAAAGTTTGGGTTCAAGGGAGCTAGTTTCCACAGAGATCGCACACAGGGTTACAAGCTGTTGCAAAGCTGTTCTTGTTTTTGCAGATGCTGTGCCTCTTCCCGCTGCTGGATGTGAAGTTCACCTCTGGCTTATGGGACTCTTAGCATTCTTGCACCTAGAACAGAGGATGCAGAGGAAGGGCCTTGGTGGAGAAGAGCTCTGGGGAAAAACTTGCGCAGTTTAAAGTCAGGCTAATATATGCTTTTAGCCTTTAAGCAGGCTGAGGCCCGCAGCTCTAACAGGAGACAGAGAAACCACAGTGGGTAAGAGCAGAGCACAGAGGGGTAAGAGCAGAGGACTGGGTGGGGTACGAGCAGGGCACTGGGGTCAAGAGCAGACCACTGGGGTCAAGAGCAGAGCACACGGTGGTAAGAGCAGAGAACTAGGGGCTAAGTGCAGAGTACTGGGGTCAAGAGCAGAGTACTGGGGGATAGGAGCAGGGCACTGAGCATGATCCCTGAAGGCAACACCAGAGGGAGCTGAGCCAACTACCCAAGCCGCACCCCCACTTCTCTAGCTCAACCCTGGTCAACAAAAGCATGAGAAACCCCCTTTAAACCCTGATACCGTTAAGCAGTTACAAACACCATTACAAACATCAGGTGTCACCCCTGACAGGGCCGGGAGCAAGCCCGGAATATACTAGGTAGTCAGAAAGTATTTGTTCAGTGACTATTTATCTTTCCTATAACATACATACATACTACTTGTATAATTAGAACTTAAATTTGAAAAGATAAAAACCGTGGATTAAATTCTGCAGTATGAGCTCTTAGCATCCAAAAGAAAAAAGATGTGTACAAGGAGCGTGACGGCCCTTAGGCGACTAACGCGGAGCACGGCGGCCAGCTGCTCTGTCCGGGGCTCCCGTCCAAAAGGCAGGGAGAGCCACCACCTCCCCCGCCGACACGAATAATTAACAACACTAGCACGTTCCAAACACCAGCTACAGACGTCTGGAGGGGCCTGAGGAGAGGACAAACGGGAAACCCGGGAGCTCCCGGCAGCGTGGCGCAGTCTCTCGGCGGGACAGTCAGGCAGGGGCGCCGGCACGGGGCCCTCTGGCCCGCGTCTCTATGGTAGGAGCGAGAAAACCGGAAGTGGCCGCGGGCCGGGC